AGTTTCCTGAGGCAGATGGGGCACAGGTCTAGTGGACGACGATCTGATTCCTCTAAATGGTTGGAGCCTTGCATAACACACTGGAGCCATTGGCAGTGCTTGACACCAAATATGTGCCCAATCTCATGAGTCAGGGTCTGCCAAAGTAGCAGAAAAAAACTACAGAATCATCCTAAAATTGACAAGAATCCAGAACCTGTTAAACACCGATCTTCTAAAATCATTAACACAAACTCTGAGAAAAAATTAAGGCAGAAATATATATATATATATATATATATATATATATATATATATATATATATATATATATATATATATATATATATATATATATATATATAAGTGATGTAGCTCTGGTCAAAATAACATTTCAGCAATCCAATTTTTCTTAAATTTTGTACAGTCATGGTTTAAATAGGGTTGAGAATACTATTTTGGAGTCCAGTTATGGTTGTCACACCTTACACGAGCGGAGGAGCAGAGTGCTGCTAATGGGAGGTGTGTAGTAGCCCTGGAATACACTGTAATCCCCTGGCTTCAGTTTTATCGCCTTCTTTAGCCGCCCGGCATAACTCCTTTTGTAGAAATCATCATCATACCTAGCAAAGCTGAAAACCCCCATTCCTACAACACAAAGTGCTTGTATTTAGACCAACTGTTCACAGCAGTTTGTGCACAAAGGATACAATAATAAAATTAACGTTATTAAACTCCACTGTCTCATCACATGCAATCACTAAAAGTTTAAATGTGTGCATTTTAACAGCTAATTTGAATTTAGTCATGTACTTTAAGCCGAAGGGTGATTTGTTTATTAGTTGTTTAGTTTTTTGACATGTGGAAAATATGTTGTCAAAAAGTTCTCTCAACAAAATTAACACTACTTAAAAAACATATGCTGAATGTGCAAACTCTAATATGGTAATACACAATAACAGGGAAATGTAAACATTAGAAATGTTAGCATGACGAAAGGCAAATCTGACTATAACGCCTCAATTAGATATCACCTTCAGTGAGAGATGCTTGACCAAAGACAAAATTCCAGGAGTCTTTTGGGTACAAATCAATCATGGTGATCCCAACAATGCAAAATGCATCTTTTGGCTTCCTCTTTTTCAAAAATGCCAATAGATCTCCTATAAAAAAGGAAAGAAAATATTTGAAGACAAAAGAATGAAAATAACAAAAGACACAGACTTAGACTTAGAAAGAGGGAAGGAGTGTATAGGTGAAGATCGCCAAAGGGCTAAACACCACTATTCACTCTTCTGAACTCTGACTGCCCTCTGCAGGGCACTGGGATTAAGTGGCCTAAATTCATTGCAACATTTTCCAAGCAGCCACAATAAACATGCCGTTTTGTATGTACTAGTACTCACCAGCATGAAGCTGCAGGTTATTTGTGTTGCTATTGACACGAAATGTGCAGCTGGTGGCTGCAACGGTCACTGCTGGTAAGAGCTTGACCACCAGGCCGTAGTAAAACGCCTCACAGTATTCCCTCAGCCACTCCACATACTGCTCAGTGATCCCAGCTCCATCCCCAAAGGAGCCTGTGGACCATAGAAACACATTACAAAGCAACTTATTCTGTATACAACACTGCATCATATGAGGACTTTGACTAACCAATAGTCTGAATGTAAATGGTCTTGTGGCCTGTGTCGGGTGTGCTGCGGTATGGGTTGCTGTAGAAGCTCTGGAAGTCCTGAGGAGCTTCAGGGTGGGCAGGAATCCAGTCAGAATCAGAGTGAACGGTGATGGCAGTGAAAAGTGAACTGCCAGGGAGGAGACCCTCCTCAAGAAATCGCTTTTCCTCTCTGCTGTACTGCTCATAGGCCTCTATCACGTCCTTACGAGTGGAGAGGAGAACTGAGCGCAGTTTCTCCACAGGATGTTCTAGGCACTGCATCTGGAGTTTGTTATCTCAGCAGTTATGGTTCTGTGCTAGTGAGCTGAAGACCTTCAAGATCTATGGATCAAACTTCTGCAAATGCAGCAAGACACTAGTTACAAATTCATGAAGTAACACTTCTATACACACACACATCAACTGAGGTCGAACTCATGGGATCTCAACACCAGGAAAGCACAGTTTATACCTTCCTAACTCCTACAGACACATATTTCTCATATCAGTTATGAGCTGGGTTATGTGTGCTGGGAGCAAGGAAACCATGCAACTGTGCAGGTCAGTGGATCCCCAGGACTCGACTGGAGAAACTCGTAGGCTAATAGAGGTCATTCACAAACCGTTATCTCCTATTCCGTCTGTTTCTACGCTTTTCGGTTTCTAGAAACATTTTACGACTTCCGGGAACATTTCCGTTCATCCATGCTGACACACACACACAGGTCTTACCACAGTTCTGATAATGATCTTTAACGTCACATGTTGTTGAAGTGTGACTTGCTCTCTGCAGCTTTTGGTGCAAGAGTAGATATTAACCTGCACAACAATAACAGCCAATCAAAACAATATGCACAGAAAATGTGGAGGCATATGAATCTACTGGACTTTGCCACAGTGATATTAGAACTCCTTTCGGAAAATGCTTTTCATTCGCCAATAAGTTAATGACCCGCCATGCCAATGGACAGACCAGCCAAACAAAACCACATTCGCCCAGGAGTTCAGATCAAATATTCAATATTCAAACTGTTACGAAAGTCGCCAGAAACCCCACAGCAACTCGTAAACACTACGTCAAAGCAAGACTCTACCATATAGGCTTTGATGTCAGTATCACGAAAGTCACGTGTTATGGCTGTCGTGCATTTTGCAAGAAGTCTTCCGGGTTAGATACCGTCTTCAAAATAAAAGTTTTCAAGCTATATAGTCTATATTCTTATAGCGTACAACTGATTCGTCAGTACACTTAATTATGCTTTGTAAATAATTCTCATCCAGGAAAACAACAATCCTTTTCGAATTTCACAGATCAAGGATCAATGAGACACCCTTAAAGTTTGGAAAAAAGTTAGGTTTCTTATGCTGTAAAGAACAAAAGTGAAACTATTTTTACTCCTCTCTCTGCGTCAGCACACAAGCACATCTTTTCATAATTCCCTTTTCAAGATTATCTCACCAATGATGTGATTTGAGTAATGAACAAAACATTATTTTAATAGAATATTCAATAATGGATTGAGAGTTTCAACAGCCAACACATCCTGGAGCTGTCTGTTGCAACCAGTTTATTTAAAAATGGCACAAAAACTTCCACTTAAGTGTTTATCTTATACCCATTTTATATCATTTTGTCCTTTTTCTTTCACGTTTATTTATTTCATTACTTTTGATTACCTTTTGTTTCTTTATTTCTGTTTTCATTTCACAGTGAATTTTGCAATATGAATGTGCTACATAAATAATGTTCACACGGTCGAGGTGGATCCGGAGCCTATCCCAGGCACACTGGGCATGAGAAGGGTATACACTCTGGATGTGCCGCCTGTTCATCAAAGGGCACCATGAATACAAACACATTCACACCTACGGGCAATTTATCTTAGCCAATCCACCTATTGGCATGTTTTTGGTAGGTGGGGAGCAAACCAGAGAACCCAGAAGAAACCCACACTGACATAGGAAGAACATGCACAGAAATTCCAAGCAGACACTAACACGAGGTCAGCTTGAACCCAGGACCATGGAGCTGTGAGGTAGCAACCCTACCAGCTGCAACCACCCTGCTGCCATAAATAAAGCTGTTAATAATAATAATAATAATAATAATAATAATAAAAGCTTCTATGTAGTGAAACTGTATCTTGATTTTAAATATCTACAATTTAAAGTAGATCAAGAACACCAACAACTCAAAAATGAATATCTTTGTAAAATAGATGGATTTAATGGACCAAAGAAAGTTATACAAAAAAGACTGAAAATTATGAAATTGATACTGTACAAGGGTCATATCTGGAATAAACACTAATGCAAATTCTGTTGGTGAGCTTGAACGCAAATCCCAGGTCTCATGAAATATCAGATCACAAGTCAGATTACAGGATGGTGATGAATAAAACTAGGCTTAGACCATAGAACATAATTTAATATGTATACAACTGGATACGCACTACAAAAAGCCAGAATTCTCAGTCACATAGGGCAGAAGCCAACATAAGACAAAGACATTCTTATGAGACCTCTATCACTGCCTAAATCAGCCAGGGAACTAAGACAAACTGTGAAATACACCTGAGATATAAATTACATAGTGCACAAGGTCGTATTTCAGTTTGGGGAGAAAACTGAATGTTTTAGTCTATGTTGGAAGCAAAATATACTTCATGGAAAAAAGAACAGGAAAATCCCCACACACCACAAACCCTGAAATTTGTTCACGTGAGCCTATTCGTTAGCTAGGGTATAACGTCAGTTTAACCTCTGCGGCCTCTGCACTGAATGCATATGCACACGTTTATCTTACTTTTGGTAAATTAATTATAATAAACCACCTTAGGAAGGTTTTCATACACAATGCCGGTTACAGTTCACTTTAAATTGTAAAGTGAAAGTTGGCCAGACAAACAAACAAAAACGAAAAACCCGATAGACAAGGGATCTATACAACATAAATTCTGTATAACGACGAAAACATTATTTAAGAGTCTTTCCCTTTTAATAAGGAACAAAAACAATAGTACTACATACACAGGTACCTTAATAATAGGGGCACTACATGTTTTGCATAATCTGAGTGCACTTATATGTTGTTTTTCAAATTGGGATATTACAGAACTTGCTGAATTGCCCAATCATTGAAGGCCACTCACCAATAATGTGTCTATAATGCATATTTACAGCCCCTGAGTCTCAGCAGTTATCATGCATCTTGGAGTGTTACTAATAACATTTACCACTTTGCTTTAAGGCATGTCCAGACCTCAAATACAAAGGACAAATTCTTTATATATATAAACCAGCTTGGGTTTTTAGCTTAGGGAGTAGGGAAATTAAATATTTTCTAACAGTGGGTCTAACAGTGGTAGTGGGGCAGTTCAGTCGCTAAGACATTAGACTGCTGATCAGACTATCATGAGTTCAAATCCCATCCACTGCTGGGTTCTTGAGCAAAGCCCTTAACCCTCAACTACTCAGTTGTATAAACATGATTTATGTAAATCTAGTCTGGTGAATGGAACAGTATAAAAACAAAAGGCTGTAGGTGATGGTTTCTCTGGATTAGCACAAACTGTAATCTCTGCTCTGCAACAGCGGGAAGCTCCAGACTTGCTAAAACTGTTGCACTGATTGGTGGAAAATACAATATGAGAGATGCCTCCTGTTAGGTTAAATCACCATACATGGGGGGATTTTATAGTTAGATAAAATTTTAAATAAAAATTTAAAAGTGGCAATGACAGCAGTAAAACACACAAATGACTCAGCTGAATGGATTGAAAGGGACACTGAAATTGGGATTAAAAACAGGAAAAAAAGTAGTCTTATCTGTGAGGGGAACAATTTGCCTACAGATCTTTTTTGAGGGTTTTTACTGAATCACTTGTACTAGAATTAAAACCTCATTAAACATGGAATGATCTTAAGCATTATGGCATGTCTCTCATTGTAACATAAGCTGCTTCAAATTTTCATGCAAGATTGTGTCTTTGACATCTCGGAAGACGAGGCGGATGTTCTCTGTGTTAATGGCCGTGGTAAAGTGATGGTAGAAGGGTTTCACCTGCTGTTCACGCCGCTTACCACGGAAGCATTCCACCAGGAACTTCTGTACATCAGCAAGATTGTGGGGCTCTCCAGTGAAGTCGGGGAAATAGTCAGCGATAGACACAGTTTTTACTTTCTCCTCCAGCAGGTCTGTCTTATTGAGGAAAAGAATGATGGACGCTTTAGAAAACACGCGGTTGTTGACGATGGTGTCAAATATGTTGAGCGACTCCATAAGCCTGTTGGTCTGACGGTCCTCCATAAGAACCTGGTCAAACTCGCTAGATGATGCCAGGAAGAGCACAGAAGTGACACTGTCAAAGCACTCAAACCATCGCCGACGCTCTGACCGCTGCCCACCCACATCCACCATCTTGAATGGAACGTTCTTGATCTCAAAGTCATACTCGTGGATGCCCTTAGTAGGCTTTCGTGCTAGAAGTATGTCCTGTTGGGTTGGTAGGTAATCCTACAAGTAAAAAAAAATTTTTAAAAATAAAAAGAATAAAAAGAGAAGACCAAAAAATCCATTAAACAATCTGTTACCAAAATAATAATCATAAGCATACAGATAAATCTTTAGTTTGTATACATTATACTCTTTAACTACAGCATATTGTTCAATTTTAAACTCAACAGGATTTACCGGCTGTCCAATTCTATCCAAACTGTCCAGGAAATATTTCACTGATTCACCCTAGAGACACAGGAAAAAAAAAAAAAACACCAAATATTACTATCCAGGAACTCACACATAATGCAAATCTCACATAAAGATTATACAAGATTATACAACACTACCTATAAATTCAGAACCAATAAAAAAAGTTTTTTGAGAATTGATATGGACATGATTTTATGTGGAGATTTTTTATGATTTTAACTCTGCTCCCACAGGGCTGGTTAAATAATAAAATCAAAACAGCAGATCTTGATTGAAACAGAAAACCAAGTATCTAAACATCTCAGAATGCATAATGACCATTATTAATCAGATCATCATTAAATTCACTACAATAAATTCAGTGTTGTACAACAACTTAAATGGAATAGAAAATCGGTTATGAAATTGGACATGCAACACAAATTCCTGCTCATTATAAGCTACTTCAAATTATTTCTGGCATAACAACTGTGACCCTTGCCCCTCAGTGCTCAATCCTAAAGCCTAAACCAGTAAATCTCCAGTTTTCCCCCAATCCCTTATTCCCCCTTCATGTAGTGAGAACAGTGCTCTATTTTAACCTTCGGCCTGTGCTTTCAATCAGAGTGATATTGTTTGAATTTGTTCCTGGATGTTACAATTCACAGGATTCCACAAAACCTGAGAGAATTAAATTGCATTTCACAGGTACCAAGACTGCAAAAAAAAAGATAAATTACATAAACTTTACTGAAATACACTGGTATTGCCTCACTTTAAAATTTTATTCCAAAAGATAAAAAAAAATGGTAATGGAAAAAGAAAAGGGAACAAGAAAACACTCTAACCACATGACAGGAGTTTCACTTTTTGTTGTGAACACTGTGTAATGACTCCTTACATTAAATCCTTAGACTTAAGACTATGGAAGGGAATAAGAAAATAAAACATCTAAAAGGCCTGAAATGTCTAAAAGATCTTCAAATCTTTTAAACAAAAAATAGAACCAGATTTCAAGACATTAGACATTCTCCCTGTCTAATGATGGGTGGCTTTGGACTAAATGGTTCAGCAATAATTCCTACAGAATATGGTCCAATAGTGGTTAGTATGGTGTGTGTGTATATTAAGATACAAATACGTTATTCAGAATAAAAAGATATGAACAGTAGGTGCACTATTGTTTTTTTTTTTTTTATCTATCAGAGGTTTGCTCCTGTAGCCCAACCAAAACATTGTCTTACTGAGATCCAAAATAAAACCACATTTCTATTTTTAAAAAAATTGCAAAATTTAACAAAATAAAATACACTTTATTTATACAGCCACTGCGCCAAATTCAGGGATCAATAAAGTAGATGTTTATCTATCTAAACATCTATCTATCATCTATCCCACGCTGGCCACAGTGCACAGGGAAGCATATCTGTGCTGGAGTCTCCAAAATATGTATTTAATTACTTTAAACAAATATTAAATATTGCCGTTTAAGGAACCCCATATTGAGTAGCAGCAGCAGTGCTTCAGAGTATTCTGATAAGAATAACAAAGTGTAAAAATCTAACAAGTTATGAATAATTTTAATAATTTTAAATAGTTTAGACCAAGCTATCTTCAAGTTCAAATCTGAATACAGATACAGATGGTAGCTAGATGTCAGATAAAGCTTTGATGCCACCATACTACCTGCATAACAGAGGCATGACTCTGTGTTAAGGCAAGGACCAAGTGATTAAAGAGCTCAACATTCCTATACTAAGACCACCACCCCCACTAAAACAAATATCCAATAATCTTCATAGGAAAAATTCAATCAAGCAAGCTACAAACATCCTGTGTGTACATGGCTCTTCAAAACCATAACTCAAACAAAACTGAGTGCTTTAAGAAAAAAAAAAAAAAAAAGTATAATGCTAATAAGCATTCAGAGCTCTCTGAAAGGGCTCTCTCAGGGTTCACGTAACAAAAACCACTGAAAATAAAACCAAGCTAAAATAATTTTTGCAACAGGCCTGCAAAATATAGCACATTAATTAGCATGGTAATATTTTTATTTGCAATAATATCACAGCAACAATGTGAATGAATAAGTGCTGTGAACATTTCATGGTCCAGATGTGTGGTTCTGTGGGGGTTCCGATGAATCACAGCATCAACATAATCCCACCAAACTAAATCTCAATCACATCATGTTTTATGTCCATATCATGTTTTATGTCCATATCATGCTCCACTAATCTGTATGATTCTTGTGATGAGAGGTGTGCTGCTGGTTTTCAACTCACCAACTGGAACTCTCTTCTCCGGTCGTAGGCGCTCTGGATGCCGCTGTCAGCCCACAGGGAGTGGATGTTGGGCAGATAATGAAAGAAGACTTTGGTCTCTACAATTCCCTGAGCCATCATGGCCGAGCGTGTGTCGAAGCCCATCAGGACCTCCCCGTGTGTCTGGTTAGAAGAGTCTCCCCATGGGATGTGCAGCTTCTCTCTGGCATCTACCAGCACTCGGATTCCTACACACACACACACAGACACAGACACAGACACAGTCCAATCACATCAGAGAGCAGCAGAAGTGATCAGATACATAAAAGCATGCACGTGGTGCTACTATTTCCAGTTCAGGCAGATTTAAGTCAGCATACATTAAGCCTAATGCAGGAAATTTCACTTTGAATAACAAAACATGGGGTTTAGCTAGCTAGCTAAGTGCAAAGAACCTAAAACAATACGAGCTGACAATTTTGTCAACCCGAGACAGTTTAACAAGTACTGGAATATCACATTATTATCTTACATGTGATTCAGTATGGCCTTTCTTAAAGAAATAAATGTAAGCCAACTAGAGTTTATCGACAAAAACGCTTAGTTTTGGCTAGTTTAGGGTGAAGTACAAGGCGTGGCGCGAACAGTGTGCCGAGCACAGCTACTGCAGCTAATTCCACTTTTGATGGCTTTTGTACGTTCACCTCGACTCTTATCGCCGAAGTTGGCCACGGAAATCACTTTCACCGCGAAATAAAGTGAAGGGCGTTGAGTCTGGACAGACCAGAAAGCTTCACTAATCGACAAACCGTGTGTTACGCTATCACAAAGTACTACCTTTGATAACATTGCTGTAGATGGTAGCCCGGAACTCTTCTTTGGCCCGCTGATCGAAGTCCTGCCCGTGAATTATGCGCATTTGCTTCAGGAAAGTTGACTTGCCGCTCTCTCCCGCTCCGAGCAGTAATATCTTTACCAGGCGCTTCACGTACGTCTTCTCCCGATTAATACATCTGTCTATCTCTTTAGATTTCCTCTGCTGCTCGATTTCATTGCTGGACAAAAGACAACTGGGGATACAAACTATCGCCGTCCGGGAGGGCAGGAAATCAGCCATTTTTGTAGTAACAACTTCATGGATCCATCACTGACGAGGGCGCGCTCTGTGCGCGTGCACAAACTTGGGCGGTAACTTCGCGTCGAGTTGTTCAGACTGCTAAGCGCAGGTCACTTTTTTTTTTTTTTAATTAAAAGCTCGGACACCCCTTAAAATAAATGATAAAATATTAAAACTATAAAAAAAAGGTTTGCTTAGTACTTCTAGATTCTAAGCCAACCTATGTTATCTATCCACTTATCAGCTTAGTAGATAAACAAGTACCAAAGTAAACAAGTTAAGAACTGAAAAGATAATATATATATAAAATGTGCACTGATTTATTACGAAGCGTTGCACTTGTTTTTGCCAATAAATATTCATTACAT